GTCGGTCGACGTCGCGTCGTCGCCCGAGTCGACGGCAATCCGCGGTGCGCGCTTGCGACGCTGCGCGGCAATGGCGGCGGCCGACGCGGGCACTTTGCCTGAAACGGCGGGCACTTTCCCAGCAACCGCTGGCACCTTGCCCGCGACCGTGGCGCGCGCCGGCGGCGGCGGCGGGGTCCACGACGGCGATGGCGAGTCGCTCTGGCTGGCCAGGAACGGGTTCGCGGCAAAGTAGGGCCGCGCGCCCGCGGCGGCGACATTGGTCAGGGCCGCGACGCCCGGCGACGGGAAGGCGGCGCCGCGGTACATGGCGGCGGCGGGCGGCGGGCCGCCGGGGTAGGGTCTTGATGGGTCGGACTGGTGGTAAGAAGGGGGGGAGCGGTCAGCTATCGGTCCGTTCGAAGCCGAAACCTTGGCTGAACGGACTAAAGGACAGCTCGCGCACCATTCTGGTTGTTGTCGTTCAGCAGCTCGCGTGTCGAAATCAAACCACTAATCATGGACAAGACGCGCGCGAGAAAGTCGTTAGCGGTCAGTACATCGGGTTCGTGGTTGGTCGCGGTCGGGGCGGTCGGCCAGCGGCCGGCCTTGTTCCTTCACTTCCACCAGTGCTGGCCGGGCGCTGTCTTCCTCCTCGGCGAACCAAACGGCCAGTTCCGCTCTCTCTCGCTCGGCGAGTCCTCTCTCGCGAACGGGTCCAAGACCAATGAGGCCGGTCGGAAGGCAGTAAGTAACACTTGGCCGGCGGCAGTCGACCCAACGCCGAACCATGCGTCGTGCTTCCGGCCCTTATCCATCGCCGGCATCCTGCCCGCCGTCGTCGTGCTTGCCGGTCAAAAACCGTCGACGAGAGCTCCTTGCAGCCTGATGCGCGTAGTTGCCGGTCTCACACGCCCGGATCCATGGCCAGCAACCGGCCGGCCGACCGCCGCCGTCGTCGAAGTCGATGAGCTTGCCATACCGTTACTTGCCAGTTGTCGTCGTCGATGCAGAGTCGATGCAATGGGTGAGATCTCGCGCTCGCGAGAGAGAAGAAAGGAGAAAGGGCCTCGCGCGCGCCGCGGTGGAGACGAAAGTGCGGTGGCGCGCTCGCCGTCGTGGTCGTCCTCTGTGTGCGCGGTGGTGCCCGCGCGCGCTTCTCTCTCGCGCCCGCCCGCACCGCCGCGCCCGCAACACACGGCACCGGCAGACACCAACACCAGCTCCCGTGAGCGCACGCCCGCGCCCCGCCTCCCCGAAGGTCCGCGTCACCACTTCTCCGTCGCGATCCTTTCTCCCCGAACTGCTCTTCATGCAACTCGCGAGCGCAAGCGCGCGATGAACTTTGCCTTGCCTCCACTTACACATTCGGTTCCAACACCGATGCCCAGCACCCGGCCTTCATGGCCACGACTTCGGCGACCTGTGCGGCACGCTCGCGCACGGCAATCCTTCCTCTTTTTCCATCGCTTCGCTCTAGCGTTGTCTTCGGCATTCCGCAACAGCAGCTCGCTGCGCGCGGGCGATTGCTGCAGACGCGCGCACCACAAAGGGGGGGGGGGCTTGCTCGAGCCTCTCCCGCCGCTCACATCCAACGAAATGCCGGCAAATGCGCTCCTCCCCGTTCTCCCCTGTCGCACCAGCAGACGCCGTTCCCCTGCGCCGCTCTCTCGTCTTTCTTTCTGTCAGCGTAGGGGCGGCGGGTCGAGAGAGACCGAACCAAAACCGACCGGCTGTATAAAGCTATGAAATTGAGCAACGTCACGCCACTCCTTTGCGGGATGGCAGTGTCAACCTGGTGTTGTTGGTCTATCACATGCGCCTCACACGCGCAAGGTCGCCAGTTCGATCCTGGCGGTTGACATTTCTCAATTTCATTCGATGTCATGCCGTCAATTTGATTGTTTACGACGTCGTCGTTCTTTTCTTCTTTCGGTGTTGCTTGAATGTGCCTCACCGTCGTGACAACCCACATTTTGAACCGCGATTTTGGTGTGACAGCGATTTTCTTTGAAACTCGGGGACTGTGACGCGTGACTGGAACGATTACAATGGATTTTGACAGCCAGACGTGACATGACAGCTGCAAAACATTTGTTGGATGAAGGGGCTGTGACGTGTGACTTCAAAATTTGCTCCTGAAGCTCCACAGATCGATACCATATTTTCTTGTTGCATTCCAAATTCTATGCATTGACGATGTGCATGGAGGCAGGACCTGAGGTGCTGCTGCTTTCAGACCCTGCCTTTTTGTTAGCAGTTTTTTCGCTAAGGCTGCAACATGCGCGAGGTGTACCATGTGCCTTGAGCGAGGTCTGACTGGGGACAGATATTTCGTGCAATTCAATTTAACCTCTTATGGCCTCGATTGGCCTTCAATGAGGTCTAATATCACAGCAAGTGCTGACCAGCAATGACAGCAAACCTTGGCAGTGTCAACAGCCTGCCCAAGTGATGTGACTTAACCAGGCAAATGAGCATGGCAACATGGTGCAAGTATGCATATCCATGCTGGATCCACTCGCTCGATCGTCCCCTGTAATAGCTTCTTTTCGTTACATTTAGCAACAGTAGGAACAGGATGTGAATGGTTCTGAAATTTCCGGAGCCCACTGTGGGCAAGTTGTCAGGCAGTGGGTGCTCCAAGGCAGGTGGTTGACAGTTTGTGTCTGGCCGCTGACATGAACGTTGTTGGATCGATTACCCAAGAAGTAGCAGAAGTAGCCATTTGTGATTGTCAACGAGATTCAATTTTTATATTTTTTACTGTATTTTTTTTTGCCCAAGCCCATCTTTTCTCCACCCATCAACCCCACTCCATGAGCTTGTTGGGGCCACCTTGGCTTTCTTGTTGCAGAGGTCAGTGCGATCAGACTGATGATCGCAATCACGACCTGTCTGCTCAGGGTAACTCGGCCTGGACGCGTTTCTCAAATACTACAAGCTCGACTGAGACCTCGCCGTCGGGTGGACACGATCATGACAGTCGCGGATAATGGCGGTGTGTAGTGGAGCGGCTGTAACACGGCCCAATGACCAGCACTACCCTTACGCGCATCCTCGCCTCACCAATCGAACCAAACAACCATCATCATCATATTCCTCTCCCGACCCTACTTCTGGATTTGCTTCACCTTATTCGCAACCAACTCCTTGAAATCAGCCATGATCGCCGCCTCCTTCTTGGTCTTCTCCTCAGCATGCAGCAGCAACAATTTCCGCCGCTCCTCAGCCGAAATCACCTGGTTCTCCTTGCGCAGCCGCACCGCATTCATCCTCTGGTGCCGCGACCCGGACATGACGTACCCGACCGTCTCGTACTGGTCGATCTCGTCACCGGTCAGCCCAATCTCACCACGCCGCGGAATGCGTTTCCCGTCCTGCACGTAGGCGGCCATGGCCGATCCTTCGCCAGCGAGCAACGCGTGGCCGTAACTGCGCGAATCAAGCGGTTTCGCGTCGACGGTGGGCGGAGCGGGGCCGACTTCGACCCCGCCGTCGTCGTCCGAGTCGGACTCGGCGTCGCGCGGCGGTGCCGCTGCACAGGAGGCCGCGTGCGCCACGGGCTTTTCGCGATATTCTACGTCCGAACCACTCGACGACGAGACCGACACCGACCGCGTGCGGCGCCGCTTGTGCCCGCGCTTGCGGTGCCGGTCGTGGTCCTCTGACGACACGCTGCGGTCGCGCCGCGACCGTTTCCGCTCCTTCTTGTCCTTTCTCTTGCTCTTCTTCTTCTCCTTCTTGCCTTTCTTCTTATCCGCCGTCCCGACGGCCTCGTCGCCCGACTCGGCGTGAAGCTCCGGCGACGCGGGCCAGAACCTCGGTACCTCGGTCTCGCGCCGGTACCGCGCGCGCGCCTCGGCTTTTCGACTCGCCCGGCCGCGGGCGCACGTCGGGAGGG